TTCAAACTAAAACCTTAAATTTAATTTACTAATCTAGATGTAAGAAGACAAGGGGTTTTTATTTTTTTTCCCCTTGTCGTACTCACATTAGTTTAGTAAGTCACATCCACGCACATAAACAACAACATCCCTCACGCTGAAACACACAGTTCAAACAACGACACATTCGTCGCATCCAATCACCAACCATTCCATTCACGTGCATTATAAACAACACCGTTTCACAACACGAACACGCTTCCCAAAATCCAACCTCTGGGTCCACGTCCCGGGAAGCGGTAACATCGGTCGATACGACCGATGGCTGAAGAGGCTCTGGTAACAATTTACTTTTCACTTATCTTCGCCATTAAAATTTAAATTCAAATTCTTGTAATGATTCGTTTACTTGTATTCAAATGAATTTTTGTTAATTATATAGATAAAAAATTTTTCACAGCAAGTGAAAAAGATTCCAAATGATTGCTTTACCAGTATTTCTCATAGAATAAATTGAATGTGCACAAAAAGCAGAAATGGATTAACATACGTAATACACATTCCAATGATAAATACAGAATGTGAATATATTAGAATGAGATTATAACAAAAGCTACACACTGCGAATGAAAACATTAACTTGCGTAAAAAAGGTAGACGTGGGTATTTTACATGTGCTACTTTTAATGTCGTTTAAAATACTCTGGTAACAATTTACTTTTAACTTATTTTTTTATATACTGTAGATTTTCTTACTAAGAGAAACTTTAATTGATATCGACTTCTTTGTCGTATTTGGAAGATATGCATTTCGTATTTTGATGACCTCTACTTAGTTTTTTTTTTTTTTTTATATATATAGATTTTATTAAAATAAAGAATAGTATTAAGTTAAATCATTTACACGGTTTAAATAAATTATTTACAAAATTTTTCGTTTACATAAATCAATTATTTAACGTAGATATTTGAATTGGGAAATTTAACTGAATATACGGGGTGGAGGGGTTCAAAAGTATGTACAGTACAGTACAGTGTACAGTTGAGAATCTGAGAAATATAAATATTTTGTATTCATTGTTATTATTATTTTCTATTAGTTTGTATTTTTTTTTTTTTTTACCTTTTTTTGTGGTTTCTGAGGGTCATAAAAGCGCGTCGAAATTACGACTAATTACAAATTTTAACGTCAGAGAGTTTCGAAGATAGAATCGGGTCAAGAGGGTGTGTTAATGACAAAACACAGATGGGACGAAAACTTTTTTCGAATCGTAAAACAAACGCGACGCGATGATAAACAACAGGGAGGAATGTCGACAGAGAGAAAGAGCTTTGTCGAGATGCTCGCGAACAAGTGTCGGGTCGACGAGCGTGAACATTAAAAGCTCCGTCATCACCTCTCCGACCTTTTCCCGACCCGGATCGGTCTCAAGTTTCGTCTAGCAACAAAAGAATGACCAATCAGGGTAACGGAGAGGGCGAACGGGACCAATCAAAAGGGGTGAGATTCGGGGAAAATCTTATAAAACTCCCGAATCTCAAGGACAGCGGGGAGATTCAGCCGCTTCTCTCCGAAGAGGAATTCCCAGCCGATTCTCCGCAGTTCTCCACTCGGAGCAGGTTCTCCACTAGTGACGAACATCCGCAACATCACCGGACAGAGGCCCCTGTGCAACGGACACTCTCCTGTCAAGCCTGGAACACCAGTCAGCGCCCGTTCGTCGACATCAAGGAGCTCCCACCAAAGCCGATCTAGATCGCATTGTTATTGTCATTATGTAAGTTAACCTTATGTTAAAATAAACGGTTTTCGTGTAAGACACTTGCCATCTTTGTCTCCTATTGCCACCACTCACATACGGTTTGACCCTAAGTTTTCCTGACGCGCAATTAACGTATTGCCCCAAAAGTCGGCGACCTTACAGGTTCAATTTGTGCTTCAAAATAAACGTTTTTTTAAAATTTTTTATTTGTATGTTTTTTTCTATAATAGCAACTGTATACCTACTTTTGCATTTTTTTTTATAATCGCTTATAAAATAAACAGTATAAAATGAAATTAAACTTCGTAACTAAATGTTTAAAAAATTAAATAAAAAAAAAACAAAACATAAATTGCTAATAACCTTAACTTTGATCGAATGGTCCCACTGAACGAGTATTTGTATGTGGACCAGTGAAAAGACCCAATTAAATGTTTATTACTTTAGGAATGATAGATGCCATAAGTGGAAATGAAACGTACGAGAGATTTTGATATAAATTTTAATGAAATACAGTATATGAACGTTCACCGAAGCTCAATCTTTCCACCTGTCCGATTTTTGTACGACTTGTCTCACCCTTCCTTTTTTTCCTGGTGACGTCATTTATGGATAGCCCCTATGAAAGGTTGCATATTATCCACTTCTCGATTTACAACAAAACTCCAGGAATCAATCGTGGTCATAATTCGAGAAGCGCTTGTATATATTTCTTTTATTTTGTAATCCTTAATTTGGCGAAATGTTCAGCCGATATGAATAATAATTTAACTACTGGTATTTACTATTAAAGATTAGTTTAATATTTTTCAGAGCATTTTGACTATTTCATTTATTATATTGTATATCAGTTCTGTAAATTAGTCATGAAAATTGTGTATTTATATGATGAACAGTCTTATGTGTATTAAGTATTTCTTGCAGGTGCGCAGCTTTCTGCTTTCAAGTGTCTTGGCGTACGCACGTTTAAACAAGGACCCTTCAAAGATGGCGGCCATGTTCGGAGTTTAGTAGTTATATGTCGTTGGGTCAGATCACTGGATAATAGGTGAGACAGACTTTTCTCAGTTGTAAAGAGGATGAGGACTAAGGGAAGAAGAAATGATTCAGATACACTTTGCCCTTAACCAGCTGTGACGTTGTAATCGTGGTCTTTTAATTATGATGATAACAACGTGGTCCTATCAGAATAAAAATATATTTTTATTTTGTGGCTGTAAATCTCCCGGAATTTCTATCCCCGCCTAGAAATAATATTTAACAAAAATTTTCCCCTTAGATTGTCCCATAGACCAATTATTTCTCCAAACTTGGCAACGCTACACGAAAGGCTTTTTTAAAGCTTGCAGATTGGAATAATCTTGTGGTAGAAAATAACGTTATAATTGTTTACTATTAAGGTAAATTAGAATAATCTATACATATGAACGAGCAATTATTTTATTGTGATATCGTTACAATGCCGGGCTGCAAATTTTAATGCTCGTTACCTTAAATTAGTAGTCTTGCTCCTGTACATCGTACTTCTTCTGCTAACAACAGAGTCGTGCCGATCATATAACTTCTTTCAGGGAAAAATTTTTGAATTAAAATAAATCATGTTATTTCGATTTTCGATCTACAGTAGATCGGAAGTTCGTATATAGTTAATCAGAGCCTTCTGCCCCTAATCTTTCCACACCTGATCTCAACTTTCATCTGTCTGACTCCGTTCTCGAGATTAAGGAAAAATAGACGGATGAAGTAGGTATTTATGTTTATAATTTTTCCAAATTGCAGTCCAATGAGAATGTTTGTTTGTCTGTTTGTTATGCACTCCTAGGTCATTCGACCGATTGCTACGAACTTCGGCAGTTACGTTGACATACTTGTAACTTAGATAATGTCGTACATAATACCTCAAAACATTGATTGAATTTCTATATATCAATTAATTTCTGTCTACATTCGATTCGCTGGCTTTACATGTAGAGTCATCTGTTGGCAAAAAATTTAAAAATACACTGCGAAAACTATACAATAACTTGGATTTTTTCATTTTTGAATGGTACTTTCTTCATACTAAGCGAGTGGATAAAACCACCGAACACTGGTAATCTGTCGTGGGTTCGCGCATGGACAACGGGTTGGCCACGTGGTTTTTCAGTTTTCTTTACATTAGTAAAGCCTGGACTCCACATTACCTGAAAACAGAAACTCAGAAACAGAACTGAAACATACAGAGTTTTCATTTCAGTTATGTTTTCGTTTTAACTTGACACCACTAGAAATGCGCCATCTGTTGGTCAGTTCTGTAATTGTCGTAGTCAAACACGGACGACGCTACGGATTTTGCCACGCTTTCTCTGCATTTATTAACAATGAAATTGTAAATAAGCTTTGAATTATTTACATTTTTTGTCGTACAGACATCTGTATTTTCTAACTTCTTCGATGAAGAATTCTAAATCTATTTGTTTCCTCGTCGTTTTCGCTACACTTTCTGCCATTACGACAATCAAACTACACGACTAATGCACGTGACTACGCGTCACAAATGCTTGCGTTTTTATTGGCTGCAGTACGACAGAAGCGCGGAACGAAAACGAAAAAGTTAAATAATTTTTAACTCCGCTTTCAGTCTTGTTTCTGTTCAACTGAACGTTACAAAACTGAAAGTTTCGTCAGTTTGGCTTTCAGTTTTACGATTACGTCGCGGATTCCGGTAATGTGGAGTCCAGGCTTAACACTTAAATAGGGGCCAGCTTCCCATAAAAGTTCTCCCGAGAGGCATCGCCCTTGGCAGGTCGTACACGTACACGTGTCGCGTTGCCGTAACTAAATAAACCAAAGTAATTTTAATAATACTGTACAGTATTACAATAAACTAGCTATTTACGAGGAAATACTTTTCACGTAGTTTATAGAAATTGTGATAATGTTCTTAAAATTGGTTTCGCCATTTTTGAAATTTAACGTTAATAACGCCGGGTGTAACAATTACCCGACAATTAAAAATAAGTTTAATATTTTATTACCACTTAAAAGCAATTTAAACAAGTCCAACGAAATTGTGCCATTTAGTACCATCCGAGTATCGCGATAAATTTGACAATGATACCCTAAAATAAACAAATTCTTTATACGATTTACGTTTTAATGTTTATCGTTATTTTTTACCCAGGAAAAAAATAAGAATAACAAATATTAAAGCCTTAAGACAAATTAGAATAATTATTATTAATTAGATTGGTATTATTTCTTATTGGTGAGAACACCTGGCAACACTTGAACGAATCAATTCAGTGATTCCATGAGGGAGGTCGCTCTCGACCTTTAATGTCCTATAAGCTACCAGAGCCATAGCCATGTTCAGGACTGTTTCTTCGGTTATAAAAGAAAATGTGAATAAATTACCTAGAACTAGACTAAAATGCAATCACGTAACGAGAAAAACTTTAACACAATGCATTAGAAATAAACATAAATGGTGAGGAATTTTAAGAATTTCAAATATTGATTTATAAATAAAAAAAAATTAATCTATTTCACAAAAATAATTAATATTTTCAAATTATACCTCTTGTTTGTGTGTAGAAAAATTAAATAAAATTGTTTCTTTTTATAATAAAATTTGATTAATTCAAATTAATTTACTCTGAATGTGATTTATTTATTTATTTTTAATTTATTCAAAAGTTGGTAAAAGTTACTTTATTTCTTTAATATATATATAAACAAAATATTATTATATATTTTTAGGTAACCTATTTTTACATAAAATTTTATTATATCATCCACTTATAATAAGGTGAAATGTAAATTAGTTATAATAAAATTACAATTTTTTAAGTAATTTAAAAATATTTTTAAGAATGAGCTCTTCTAGGTTTCGTCCCGTCGAAGCTCGCATCTTCGAGGATAAATTTTAGAAAATTTAATTGTAATAAGTATCCATTAAAAATTTTATTTATTAAATATTCTTTCTTTAATCTTTATTAGTACAAATGGCGGACACACTGTTATTTGCAGGCTAAGTGATTACAAATATTAAAATATACGCTTGTAAACGGTTACATATGCAAAATATTTAAAAGTATTGATAACTTCTACTAACAAAAGCTTTAATTTTTCAGAATAAAAGATTTATTATTATTATTAATATAGTAAACAAGTATTATTTTATTATTTGTGGATTTTAAAAGTTTTTATTATTATTTAATTTTATAAACAATTGATCTTATTTTTACATTAATTTAGATTAAACTAATGTAAAGAATAAATTGATAAGTGAGTAAAAGTTGACTTGATACATAAATTTATTTAATTTCAGGTGTATACAAGACTTTAATTCACTATATTTTGCAAAGAGTTTACAATCAGTCAACAAATATGTTAATCGATTTTATAGTTCTGGTAAGTGCTGTAATAATTATTTAAATAATTTATTAAAAACTGAATTTAATAACTCTTTTCACACTGTAAGAAGATTTATACTTTTCTACAAGGAAGAAAGCAAAACAGTCAAAAGTATAAACAAATTGTTATTATAAAAGGAATATTTATTAACATAAGAAATATTTAAAAATCTAGTATTGTATAGTCAATCAAATTAAAATAAATACATTTAATTAAAAAAATTCAGTTAATAAATGAATAGTTGTCATAAGAGTAACAAAAACAAAGCATTTTTTAGTTAAGCAAGTATTAGCTTTTTTTATTAGGCATTTTCATAATTTTCTAAGCTATTTTAGGGTAAATCAAAAGTGTCTATATGAAATATAATTCATATAAACAGATATACTTGTGATGTGTCTGTGCATGCAATATAATCAGATATGTTAACATGCATTTGTATGTGCATTCAGTTAAATGTTACACACACAGATCATATTCTGTAACTTACAATTGACTGCATATTCAAGTGAATTCTTTATTTCAGTATGGAGAATTTTGAATTACCCTTTATAAGTCATAATTTGAATTTGCATGTTAACCTTAATGGTTTATATTTTAATATAAATTATAATGGTAGTAAACATTAAGATTATTATGTAAAAGTAAGAACTTAGTACAGTAGAGCATTGATTATCCAAATCAATTGGGGACTGGGGTTGTTCGGAAAATCGATATTTCGGATAACTGATTATGTACGAAAAAATATATTAACCTATCCTATGTTGAAATTTTTCTCCGTTGCGTGTCGCTTCGCGTTGAATTTTCGTTGGTGTTAAGCCTAACGTAAACTTTTTAAAATAATAATCATGACTATTGTATCATTAAAAATTATTTCTTTATTTTGTACAAACAAAATAAATATATTGAAAAATATAAAAAGAAAAAATTATACTTCAGAAGTTAATTTAGTATCAAAAACGTAAAATATTTGAGAAGCCCAAGACATAGCTAAAGATTGCAATGCCACAGCACTGGCGAAAATTTAAATTTGCCGACTGGAATTCTTTCGGATAATCAACACTCTACTGTATAAATAATTTTTAAAGAAACAAACATATCAGACAAACTTAACACATTTTGGAAGGCTTGTTGAACAAATGTTTGAGGTTTCAAATAATGTTAAAAGTTTACTAACACATTAATATATTAAAATACATGTATACATGTAATGAACTAATTCCATAATGATAGAACTTTCATTCATGACAGATCTTTCCTTGTAGGCAACTTTCAATGTTCGAATTTCAAACACTGTATAGACAAACTTCTGCCAGCCAGAACTTCCAATTTAATATTTACAATAACACAACATAATGAGTGAGTGAAAGCACTTTTGTCATCATGGAATCAGTATTCAAATTCTTGTAATGATTCGTTTACTTGTATTCAAATGAATTTTTGTTAATTATATAGATAAAAAATTTTTCACAGCAAGTGAAAAAGATTCCAAATGATTGCTTTACCAGTATTTCTCATAGAATAAATTGAATGTGCACAAAAAGCAGAAATGGATTAACATACGTAATACACATTCCAATGATAAATACAGAATGTGAATATATTAGAATGAGATTATAACAAAAGCTACACACTGCGAATGAAAACATTAACTTGCGTAAAAAAGGTAGACGTGGGTATTTTACATGTGCTACTTTTAATGTCGTTTAAAATACTCTGGTAACAATTTACTTTTAACTTATTTTTTTATATACTGTAGATTTTCTTACTAAGAGAAACTTTAATTGATATCGACTTCTTTGTCGTATTTGGAAGATAGGCATTTCGTATTTTGATGACCTNATAGACAAACTTCTGCCAGCCAGAACTTCCAATTTAATATTTACAATAACACAACATAATGAGTGAGTGAAAGCACTTTTGTCATCATGGAATCAGTTTGTCACATGTATAAACATATTTTAAAATAAAATATTGGTGTAAATATATTTTTAAAATTATAAATGTAACATGCTGTGTTGTGTTACTTAATCCATTATATATTTATTATTATTATTATTATTATTATTATTAATTCAAAATATGGTGTATTAATGTTATGTAAGATATACAACATCCTACAGAGTGATGTTTTGAAATTCAAAAAATCAGTTTTTTAGTAGAAAATTTATAATTATTGTGTATTTTTCTTATGACTGTTATAAATATGTTTAATAATTATAAAATAAAAACGAAAAATTTTTAAATTTTCTTTTAATTTAAAAAAAAAACATTAAATTAAGGAACTTATGCAAAAAGAAAGTCATGCCAGAATTTAAATGTATATCTTTCATTCTTTATATCCTTTCTCTTTTTGAAATTACTGAATACATACCATACAATAATTTATAACTGAATGTTATTAATTTGCGAAAGGATCTTATATACATATACATACATATATCTTTCTAATTGGTAAGAAATAAGATACTGGAAGTAATTCTGTTTTCATTAAAGATTGAATTATTGTGTGGTAAGTTCAATCCAATTTCAAGAAAGTTTAAAAAAATTTCAACTATCCTATATAATAATGTTTTCTATTGTGTATTTTTATGTTTAATGTTTCTCTAAGGTTACAAAAGTTCAGTATATTTTTCTTTTACTTAGATGCTGATTTACCTCCACATCATAAAGTTAGCCTTCCTGCCCTTTCACCAACTATGGAAATGGGTACAATAGTTTCTTGGGAAAAGAAAGAAGGTGACAAACTGAATGAAGGTGATCTGTTAGCAGAGATAGAAACAGACAAAGCTACAATGGGTTTTGAGACACCTGAAGAAGGTTATCTTGCTAAAATCTTAGTATCAGCTGGTACAAAGGATGTTCCATTAGGCAAAGTAAATTAGTTTCAAAAATTATTATTGTTTTTTTACAATAAAAGTAATGTTGATTTTTGCATTATATTATTATTATCCTGTAATGATATTAAATCTTAATATTTTATGTCTTGAAATTCACAATATTTTATTTGGAAAGATTAGTAATATTCTACATAATTATTATTAATTAATCTATGATCCACATTCAGTGATTTCTGCACCTACTAGTTTTTTCACCAAATTGTTTTACTTAGCTGTGCTTCTATGACAGTCTCTTGCTACATGTTATTTGTCTGTGTAAAAATTCCAGTTGAAAAAAGTTCTTCTGTTTATCACAGACTCTCAAAAAAACTGCTGCAGAAAATCGCCATCTTACACTTGCAATAAAATACACCTTATTTATGCACACAATTTTTATTTTTCTCACACAATTGCATGCATAAGATGGCAACTTTTTCACTCTGACATTATTTTCAATGATGTTGGTCATGGAAGCTTATTAAAATTGTCCTAAAAGTGAGTAAGGATGTTATGAATGTTTGTCATTTATGCATGACATCATGACATGGCATCACTATGATTTTGAGCACTTGTCTCCATAACATAGCCAAGGTACTAAGACCTACAACAATTTAAATTTTTATGCAGCTTTATTTTGTGCATGAAAAAAACAGAAAAATTTTTTGGTCCTTCTGAGAAACACCTTGGCCCTTCCATCATTTATTTTCAGGTGAACTCATTTCACATTAGCCCATGCTATCATAAAGTTGTGAATCTTCCTATGGGAAAAGAATCAAGGATATTGTTCTGTAAACAAAATAATATCTTGTAACTAAACAATGTATGTAAGTGAAATTTAGCAGTTGCAGAGAAGATATATCACAGGATTTTTCAAAATTGTCAAATTCAAGGAATGACAATTATGTATAGTGTAATTACAGTAATACCCCGAACTTACACGATAGGTGGGACCGAGCGGTAACCGCGTAAGTCGGGGTATAATTTCGCATATAAATACATACAAATAATTTTTAATTGGGGCCGGAGACTAAAGAAAACAATAATTTAGAAAAAAATGTTTAATAAAATCTTAGATAATATATATGTATGACAAATTATATTATTATACAATTTTTCACATTTACTTGATTATCACGCCATAATTTTAACATTGTTTCCATCTCAGCGATAATACTGTTACGTTTACGAATGATGCTTGAATTTAAAGATTGAGCATTTTTTACAGCTTTGAGAATTTTTTCTTTGCCTTTTATAATTGTTCTGACCATCAATTCCGATATTTCAAACTTCTTTGCCAATTCACAAATTTTCATTTTTGTATCGAAGTCTTTAATAATGGATATGTTTGTAAAGTCAAACGAGTTAAATGCGTTAGTAATGAATCATTCAAAAAGTCTAACGAAATAGGAATAACGATGACATCATTCTCGTTTAACTCATTCGACTTTATGAACGTACCCAATGTTAGCTTTACATTCCAAAGATAAAGTTTTTCTTTTCTTGTTTGATGCAGAAGAATTAGTTCTACTTTGTTTGGATGACATAGTAGATATAACAAACACAGAAATAAATAACGTAATAAATTGTAGCTATGTGTCGATTTCGTGCGACACATCTGAACATGTAAGCTGAACAATAGTGTGGGGGGAATGAATAATCAAGGGTTGCGTGGTGCTCAAACAAAAGATGAATCGACGAGATTTGAAAATCGTATAACTCCGGGTTCACGTAAGTCAGGGTAGCGTAAGTCGAGATATTACTGCACATATGAAAGATACATATTGAATAATGTATCAGATACATAGAGGAAAATTGCCACTTTATGCATGCATCTATCTATGCTAAAAAATCTGTGCATATGATTATGGATTAATAAAAAAATTTTCATATTAATTTCACTGCTCTTAATTAATATATGAACATACATCAATAAGTCTTTATATGCTATATCCTATATTATACTATTAGCATGTGATATTTTATGAACTTTAATAATCTGTCTCTTTGCTAATATGATATATTATTAGATACTTATATAATTTTTTTCATAAATTATCAATTAAAGTTTTGATATTAGACATGCAATTTATTTAGAAAGTTTTCTGTATTTTAGTGTACCTTAAAATTAATCATAAACCCAATAGATTATAATTTTTCTGAAATAATGAAATACGAATTTTTACAAAACTGCAAATACCACCTGAAAATATTAAATAAGTTCAGTCTCATTACTATAGGGGCAAAGGATTTATTTTTGTGATATGGTGATTTCAGTTTGTTAGTACAGTAATTACTGTACATTTATAGAAAATATATTTTATTATAAAAATTATTTTTTAACAAAAAGTAATTACTGTAATTTGCCTGGTTATGTCAAAAATGTTAAAATTAAAGATAACCGAGAGTATATTTTTTACAAGTACAGGGTTATTGAAATTAAACTTTCCCAACTCAGAGGGTCATGCATCATAAAGAACCAAAAGCGTGAATACGAAACACAGAATTCCAAGAGTTACCTGTATATTGTATATTTAATTACATTATTTCAGTCATTATTATATTGTGCAGTTGAATCAAAGATTTTTCTCTTGTATTACAATTAAAATGATTTATAAAATCTATTTTTGTTGTAGAATTAAGATGTGCAAAGCTTGGCCAAAAATGTTTGTGTTAATAAATCAAAATGAATTAACCAACTGAAGAATTAAAAGAATTACTATGGAAATACTTAGTTAACATATATAATGAAGTAACATATTGATATTGTTGATAATCCTGTTTTCAATACAAAAAGGTCTTTACAAATATTTTTAAATGATTGCTTTATTTGAACCTACTTACAAAATTTTTAGTTAAATTTGCATTCTGTATAAATGCTTGTTGCATAAACAATGTTTCATGTAGACATGTTTTAGTTAAATACTGCCCTGTGTATAAATTATATATATATATATATATATGTAATGGAATTTAAATAATTTTAAATTACATCTTAATTTGAAAACTGTAAATTGGCCATTTATGATAAATTCCATAAATTAAATAAATGAAATAAAATTTATGAAATATAAATGCTATATATTATTAGAAAGGAAAAATTCCATTCTTTCTACATATACAATAATTTAATGAATTTTTAATTTTTATTTATTTGTTTCGAGATTCTTTTATAATATGTTCTTTTCAATTTTCAGTTACTCTGTATAATTGTAGAGAATGAAGATGATATTTCAGCTTTTAAAAATTATGTTGATACTGGAGAACCAGTTGCATCTGCACCTTCTAGTAGTGCAAAACCTGCTCCACCTCCTCCAACAGTTCCTCCACCACCACCTACACTGCCACCTCCACCTGTTTCTGCAATGCCGTCAGCACCTTCAATGCAACCTTCTGGTCGAGTATTTGCTAGTCCATTAGCTCGCAAACTTGCAGCTGAAAAAGGAATTGATCTGACAGTATGTATTGTTAAAGTCATTTGTTATAAATTGATTTTCATTTATCTAAATGCAAAAATTTTCTTAGCAAGTGAAAGGATCTGGACCACAAGGACGTATTCGATCTCAAGATTTGGAAGGAGTTAGCATTACCTCTGCTGCTCCTGTAGCGGCAGCACCTATTGCAGTTCCAGGTGCAGTTTATGTTGATATCCCGTTGACAAATGTTAGACAGGTAACATTATTGATATAACAAATTAAAAATTTTATTTATTTATTGAAATATTTATAAAGTAATAATATATTCAGGTAATTGCACAACGATTACTTCAATCAAAACAAACAATTCCTCATTATTATCTCTCAACTGATATAGAAATGGACTCAATTCTAAAGTAAGAGCATTGAAATAAATATGCTACTTCTTTTAATAAAAAAATATTTTAAAATTATTTTTTTACGTTAGATTACGACAACAGTTTAATGAAACATTGTCAAAATCAAATATCAAATTATCGGTAAATGATTTTATAATCAAAGCTTCTGCTGTTGCATGTAGGAAGATTCCTGAAGTAAATTCTTCTTGGCAGACTACTTTTATAAGACAGTAAGTGTAAATTTAAACCAAAGTTTGTTGATTATTATATTTTCAGTCGTACTTTAATTTTTAAAATATTTTGTTTCAGATATCAGACTGTAGATGTAAGTGTTGCTGTCAGTACAGACAATGGTTTAATTACACCTATTGTATTTCAAGCAGAGAAAAAGGTTTAAATTTTATTATTTTATATTATGTAATTTTAATATTAACGTATATACAAAAACAAATAACATTTATTATTCAAAGGATTAATAATTTCCATTGAATAAGGTTTAAAAAATGGAAACTTTAAATATTTTTATGAAAGTTGAAATATTTTAATTTTATTTTGCTGGAATATTGAAGAACTTGCATTTTAAAAAACAAAAAAGTTTGCATCTGTGTAGTTATAATTATAATTGCAAACTATCCAGTGTTTATATTTGCAGATAGCTATATTTTGTGTGTGAATTATAATAATAATGACAGATTAGTTTTATGGATTAACTGAAATGAACTGAACTATTTCAAGTACTTTCTTTTTAATCTGATAGATGTGAATTGAAATGTTAGCAGGAAAAAGAATTGAAGAAAATATCTCTTTTTATATTACAGTGTAATTGAAGAAAATGTATAAATATATTCATAAACATCATAAAAAAAATCAATTCTGAAATTTGTTTGGTAAATTTTTTACATTATATAATTATGTAATTCAATTGTTATTCAGTTAAAATTAGCTTTCAGGAAAATTGTATGAGTCTTTGTTCATAAATATAATACAATCAGGTTTTTTTTTGTTTTATACAGTTCCTGTTGATGTTATAAAATAAAATTATTAAGCATTAAATAGCAGAGTGTAAGTGAAAATCTTAATTTTATAGCATTTATTTTAACGTACAAAAGGTTTAAAGATGATTTGCCTACAATAGAAAATAAGTTATGGCTAACCTTGTGCACCCAGTTTTTTGTATTAATACATTGAAAACTATCTTAATGTTTCCTAAGCTGGTTTTAGCTGGTTAATTAATAGGTGTGGGTACTTTTTTGATGTCAGTAATTGAGGTTAATAAGGAAAGAAAAGCAGCAACCAATTAACATTGCAGGCTAATCACCTAAACTTTCTCCTTAGGAGATCACTGCTGCTGCCTTTGATCACATTAGGTTTTTTTGCTCCCACATCTTGCATGCAGTTTTAATCCTCACTCCAAGCAACTTTCACCACTTTCTAAAGGTAAAAGAACACTTAAAGAGCACACATTTCAAATTTGATGAAGAAGTGGCATCAACTTATGTATTCAACAAATTCCTTTCAATGACAAACACTGCAAATTTGTGATATGTTGGCAAAAATGTATTGAGGTTTTGAGATTATGATAAAAAATAATTATGTAGTCTTGTAAATAAACAGTAAAGCTAAATTTCCTCTTTTGTTTTATAAATTTATGCCAATTCATTATTGTTTATATTAATGTGGAGACAAAACTTTCCAGCTCACTCTCACTTAAGTTTCATATTTTGTGTTAACCATTATAATAATGGCAGATTAATTTTATGGATTAATGGAATAATTTCAAGATAAATGTTGATAGAGATAATAGAATTCAATATACAAATAATATTTAGAGTTTCAAAAATGCATTTTATGACAAGCAAAATTTTTTATGGGTGGATGAAAAACTCAACAGTGCACTGTCAGTTTAATCAGTCGTTATTAATGTTGGTATTTTACACTATTTTATCTTGAGTTCAGACTATAACAACATCAGGATCATCATATATATTTATATACATATTCTATTTAATAATTATATTACTTTATATGAATATTATTTTAAAATATATGAACAATTACACAACCCCTTACATTGTTTATATTTGTTGCAAGGATTGTTTTATCCAGTTGATTATTGTTCAATATCAATATGTAAACTAAGGTAATATTTTCCTGAATCTTTATTATTATTATTATTCATAGAGAATATTAAATTTTGAACTTTTTACTTAATGAAAATTTTGACACTTATTTTAATAACTTCAGAAATTTTTTAAATTTGTCAACTGAAGTGATTAGAATGAAAAATAGTTTAATCAATTAAGTTTATCTAAAGTGAATAATAAAAGTGGATAAATTGAAATGATGGAAGTAATTGTCATTCTAACTCATTTATATAATTGAAATTAATAAAAATTCTGGCTTCTATTTTACATTGTAATTTTTTTTTATAACTAAATTGCAGATATTATTTTTTGGATAAAAAAGAAAATAAATTTTTGTTTCAGAATATTTCTTAGGTTAAAAATAATATTACCACTAAAGTAATCAATACTTGTTTCACTTCTATTCTTAATATTGTTTTTAAGTTACATGTACAGATTTAAATTGTATTTAAAGAAATAAAGAAAAATAAGAATTATAAGGACCAAAAACAACTGTTATTGTCTAAAATTTTCCTTTTGAGTAGTTAACTTTTTAAATTCAGAAAGCTTAAAATTTATTACGTTTAGAGACATAAAATGTAAATATACAGATTTCAAATAGGTTATGTTCAATGTTTAAAAAAAAAGACATTACCAAATATTGTACAGCATTCAGGTTACATGCAGAAATTGTAGTCGTGGATGTAGATAACATTGTAAAAAATATTGTGAAAATCTTTCTTATGAACTGAATCATCTTCAGTTGATAAAAAAAGAAATCCAGCAGCAAGTTTAACTTTCTCGGCAACATTTAAAACTGCATGTGTTTTGTTTTATTAAAAGAACTTTTTATATTTTTAATTATTATCAAATGTCAAAAAGCTCTATTTTGGGGTGAGATGAGTTTTATAAAAAAAAATTGTAAATGCTAATAATCAGTAAAATCATAATTAAGTCTGACCCTACTGGAGATATGACACATGATCCTTCTATCTCCTCACCACCTTGACCTTTAACTGCCGAAATTTAATAGCATCAGTGCTCCTAATAGACAAACCTCCTGGCAAAATTTCAGAAAATTTCAATAGAAAGCCCAGGAGTTATTGCCTCCCCACACTCATGCTACATCCATAAATACAGAAACCCCAAAAGTTTTTTTGCATTTCTTGATGTTTCAAGGACTCTTGAGTTTAAAAATGCAAAAATTTTTGATTGATTGCAATACTTTCCCTCTGTTATATATAACAGAGCTGGGAAAGTAAGAATGACAATGTTGAAAAAATTTTCTAGTTTAGACAACTACTTCTTTCTGACATTTTTTTACATTTAAAAAGCAGCATCTTCTGACTGAATCTAGTGGCATTAACTATAACATTCAGGTTTCTATAATAATTTGCAATAAAAGACATTTTGAAGTTAGTGAAGTTTTCTGTTAATATGAAGTGATAATTTTGAGATTTGTAATGATATTTTTTAATGAACTTTTTCAAGTGACTTATTCAAATTAGTTCATGTGTGAAAAGTTTGTGAGCTTCTCAAACCAGACTCATTTCAGTGGCAGGCTGATGTTTTTATGTGGAGATATAAATAGCTTGCTTAGAATGCTTAAAAGCAGTAAGTTAAAAAAATGCACTCACCTAATTTACAGAAGCTGAAATTTGTATCTTATTTCAAATGGAATTTTTTTCAAAGACTTTGAAATTATCATTTTAATATCAATAAATGAGAGTTCTATATTGCCCAAAAGATTACTTATCAATTTTTACCTGTTAATTTGATAGTAACTAAGTTATTTACATTAGAAAATAAATTTTTGTTTTATTCGTAATCAAAATTATATACAGGGCTGTGCCAATGGGTGCAAAGCGGTATGCTCCACTAATCTATAATTTCAATTATTCTGCTCAAATTGTTAAAGAAAGTTAGCAATTTCAGGCATAAAAAATTTCTCACACCAGAATGGCAATTTACTTTGGTGTAGTCTTGATTGTACATACATCTGATACCTTGAATAAATTCTTGTGTTATGAATTTCTTAAAATAGGACAGTTCAGACATTGTATAACTTATATAAATTCTGTACATAATTTGTAATCTTCAGATACTGTACAATAATTATAAAATTTTAAATGTAATTATAATTTATAATTTTCATTGTTACAGGGACTTGTAGATATCAGTAATGATGTCAAAGCATTAGCAGCTAAAGCTAGAGATGGCAAACTTAAACCACAGGAGTTTCAAGTAAGTAAACATATAATATAAGAATATTGAAACAATTTTTAAGAAAAGAAGATTAAAAACTTGTTACTGAAAATGGTATTTTCATTTTAGGGTGGAACTTTCACTATATCTAACTTAGGAATGTTTGGCATTAAAAATTTTGCTGCCATCATTAATCCACCTCAGGTTTGTCCAATTAGGTCTAGCAAGTATATATATAAACAAACTTTTTTAGTTTTTAAATTTAATTATTGATCGTTTTTACTGTAGGCATGCATTTTAGCAGTTGGTAAAACTGAAAAAAGAATAATTCCAGATGAAACTACGGATACAGGGCAAGTAAAATTTATGACATATTAATGATAATGATTCATGTACAATTATCCTACTGGCACTGATATGAATATATACAGTAAGGAATTTACTAATATTTAATTAATTTACTGTTTACACATTTGCTAAATCATTCAAGTAATGATTTGATTTTTGCTTACAATCATAAACAAATCTTTACCATTAATTAATATAATTTCTTGGAGTGAACAATATTTTAGAAAATTAGCAATCTTGATTGAATATTGATCATTAGGAATTAACAAAATAAATACAGATCTGAAGATGCTAGATTACTATTTTATATTTTTAATAAGAGAAATCAAAATCGAGAGTACCACATGTTGATCTTTATTTCTTTTGTTAGACATAATTCTCTTGTTGATTATAAGTGTGTAACCTAAAAGAGCTAAAGTTTCCTAAAAAGTTTTTGCTCTAGAACACCTTGAATTAGATTTACATTTGAGAAATTTCCTTAACAAGAGTGAAATAAAAAATAGTAAAAAGACATGGCCGGCGGTAATTACATTTAATAAAATTATAAAAAATACGACATTTTTACAAAGGTGAGAACCTTGTTTCTGTCAGTCTTTCCGCCGTTTCATTTGTACACCATCAGCGATCCTTAAGACAATTCACAAAATTTTCCGGGGACGACCTTCCTTTTAAGGCTACTGCCTCGGTAAAAAAATGTAAAAACAGGCAAAGCGTCCTCTGGTGTTTGTTGCCACTGTCACAATATCACATTTTAAATAAAAAATAGTAAAAAGACATGGCAGGCAGTAATTACATTTAATAAAATTATAAAAAATACGACATTTTACAAAGGTGAGAACCTTGTTTCTGTCAGTCTTTCCGCCGTTTCATTTGTACACCATCAGCGATCCTTAAGACAATTCACAAAATTTTCCGGGGACGACCTTCCTTTTAAGGCTACTGCCTCGGTANATTTTTTTACCGAGGCAGTAGCCTTAAAAGGAAGGTCGTCCCCGGAAAATTTTGTGAATTGTCTTAAAGATCGCTGATGGTGTACAAATGAAACGGCGGAAAGACTGACAGAAACAAGGTTCTCACCTTTGTAAAAATGTCGTATTTTTTATAATTTTATTAAAGAGTGAAATATTATAAATATTTATGCAAAAATATTTGTATTTTTACAAGTAATACTCTGATTGCATTATTTTTTTTATTGTTATCTTTATCGTATGTTAAATGCATTTTAATTTCAGAAAAAAAGCTTTATTTTCCTAAAAAATTTTAAAAATTTATTTTTAGATACAGAACAGCTTCCCTAATGAGTGTTACTTTGAGTTGCGATCATCGAGTAGTAGACGGTGCCGTAGGAGCCCAGTGGATGGCACATTTTAAAAAGATCTTAGAGAAACCTGAAATGATGCTGTTGTGATTATATGTGATTTTATATAGATTATTAAAACTAAACTTACAAATTATGTGGACTAATATAATGTATGTTGTAAGTTGATGTAGAAATGTCAAAATATAACCAGATTAAAAAAATAAACAGTGTTTTTGATTAAATTCTTTAATTGTCTTATATATATATATATATATATTAATTGTACATAAAATATTTATTTGTTTAAAGTTTATTTTGTTTATATATAAATGTATAATTTTTTCATAATAGAATCTAAAGACAGAAATACTGTATATAGATATGCTTAGAAGATATTTGTAATACCTTGCAAATTATTAAAAATTATTAAGAGTTAATAGAAATAAACTTCTCAGTTAACTTTTTTATTAATAATTTTTGTACAATATTTAAGAATTTTCTCTGTTGGGAAAGTTATATCAATTGAATCATTTACTCCACCAAAATCATTGTTTTATTGCTGCTTTTTTAAGTTGGCATCCTAATGGACTTATATTGATGTGTGTCAAATGCTTGATATCTAAATTTATTTAAAATTTAATTAGATATCAAAGAAACTTACACTCATGGAAGTCAGATTGAAATTGTCTTATATATAAGTCTCACAGCATTGCTCCTGACAAAATATTAAATCAGAAATATAGAAACTTCTGTTTTCCAATGTAAAAATAAAGATTCTCCAAACTTATTAATTACAGAATGAACTTCATGTTCAACCATAGAATTGCCTAAAAGATCATTACATAATATTTTTCTATACATTGATAAGATATATTTTTACAAGCTTATTATATTTACAAGCTTATTTTTACAAGATTAAAATATATTTACAAGCTTATGAATATGAATTCTTGATTAAATACAATCTGATATTCGTAGAATGAGATAATGAATCTTACAGCATTTTTTTACAACCATTACATGCTAAGATTATTTATAAATACTATGTTGAGGAGTGAGTTAGTGAAAAGTAATACTGTAAATTAAGACTTCCAATATCATTTACAGCACCAAAATTAAGTATTATTGCAATTTTATAAACTTACTGTAATTTAAATATTACTTGCAAAACTTTCATAAAATTTATTATTTAGGACTTAAAATATTAAAATTTTTAGAGTGAAATTACTAAAGAAAATAGCAATTTTTCATAAAAATATAAATTCCAAACATTTGGTAAAAATTCATTACAGAATGGAAATTAAAACAGAGATTGTATATGGTGCAACAATGTTCTATACATTCTGGTACTTTGGGAAGTGTTTTAATATTCGAAATATTCATTTACATAATGTTCCAGTAACTATACAATACTATGTACAGTATTTAATATAAATTATATGCATATGAAAAAGAATACACTGTTAATTACATATTATGATATATACCTTTTCAATATTAATTCCTGCTTACAGGCACTATGTAGGCTTTTTTCTTATGGATCCAGCCAAATATACAAGGGTGAGCTGGGTGATGAAGGATCGGCTCCGACATTGCAAAACGACTTACCTATGAAAAGCTGAGTTGAATTCAAACTTGTATCCCCAGATCCTAGATCAAAGTGGGAATAACCAACACTATCCAGTACATTACAATGGAAAAGTAGCTTGCAGGATGTAATTGTGTAGAAATAAATTATTTTTATTATTTAATTTCAGACAATATATAGAATTTAATTAATTGAATTTGAGGGTTTTCAGAATTTATAAATTTTATACTTATTTTTTGTGAAACATTAATTAGAAGTGCAGGGGAGCCTCAAAAAAATTCAAGTGCATTTTACCGAGAGCACAAGAACTTGGAAATTTATATTACGATGCGCTAAAATTGGATATAATAAAGTGTTGTTGATGTTATTATTTTCATATTAAATTCCTCCATTTAAAAATTTATAATTTGAAAGTTACGAAATTGTGAATTTCCACTCTGTGACCTGACTTAATGTTACGACATTAAAATTCGAGCGAAAAATGTCGAAATTATTCTTGCTTCCCGTTTATCAATTGAAAGTAGAAGTAAATATTTGAAGAGCTGACATCTTTAAAGCATTAATAAAACTAGAAGTACACGCAAAGAATGATATTTTCACAATGATAGTTCTTTACACTTTCATTTAGAGGTGGAGAGAGATCTTTATCACTTATTGTTTTAATGCCACCGTGTATTAAAAAACAAAAATTTTAAATTGTATAATATTTTTAAATAATAAAGTTTTTTCTTAATACCACTTTGGAGCCCGGGACCAAATCCTGGCTAGCGAGTATCGGGATTGAATCCAAGGAATTTTCTGCATAGAATATGTAGAAAATTAACTACATAGATTTTTTTTTATTTCTAATAAAATTATATAGTAAGTTATATGAAAAAAGAGGCACTATCACAAAGATCTCTTTCCGCTATGTCTTGCTGGGCTTTACATTTAGGAGGTACTCAAAAATATTTGTTGTATACTATTTATCCTATTGTATTTCTTGCGTATGTTGACGCTTAAACCAATTCGTCCATCCGGCCATCAGCGTGAATTGACTTAAAAAACACTTTAAAAAATACTTGCTTTCTAGACTCTGTTTTAAAATAATACTTCCAAGATTAGTTTTGTATTTCGAACACCAAGACTCCGTCAGAAAAATTTACAGACATTTACGTGAAATATACGATACGTGTGTTTCATAAATACTACAGATAAATGTACAAAATTTGTATCATTTTATTTACATTTTAATTACCTTTCAATTGAAATATCTTTGCTCATATTTATCAGAAAGATGATTTAAAAAGTTGAGGATTAAGGATTATCATCTTTCGTCCAAATCCTGGAATCTAACGAGCCATATGGTTATTCTTGTTTAAATAAAAATTGCCACAATGATATTAATTAATATTTATCTTTCATTTTATGGATAAAATAATCGTTAAGATTTTCCATGTAGTTATTTAAATTTTACGAATTTATATTACGTTTGTAAGGCATTAAAATTAGTTAATTTACGTCCTCTTTTCCCCGGACATGTCTTCTTTTTTATAATTTGGTTCCGATAACTCTCAATATACAAGTTTAAGCCACTTCGATTTGAAAGGTCGATAAGTTATTATTTAACGTGTCATTTAAAATTCTTTAAATATTGTTCAAATTTTAGCGCTGTTTACAAAATTTCCAATCTGTGAAAGTATGAAAATATTCGTACATAAGTACAGAACACAAGCACACAATATTACTTTCTAGTGTTGCATCGACCCAGTAATTTGGAAATCGCTGCACAAAGTCGATATAGAATTACACATTGAAATTTTATTCCCAACATCTGTTATAATTAATAACAGAAAATAGTTTAGCACAAAAAAGATTTGTGTTAATCATTATGTTTTGAATCTCTGTTCATCTCTGTTAAATTAATCTTTACCACTATTTTAAACAGTAATAAGTATTAATTAATTAATGCTTCTTGTCCTTTAAATATTATCTTGTTAATGTTAGTATATTGTGATCTACTAATAGGACTATTGATTTAACTTGGGGATGAAATTAGCGAGATTGAATTAGTCTCTCGGTTCAAAAGAATAAATTTTATTTGAACAGGTTTGAATAACAGGTGCAAATAAAGAAACCAAAACAATGTATGAGCACCTTACAGGCGAAGATTTCTCGAGTTTGACATTTCCCGTTAGAAGGGCCTCGACATTTAGCATTTTTTATTATATAATAAAATCAATTTTAAGAATTAAAAATAAATTTAAATTCTAAATTAATATTATATATATATAATAAATATATTTTAAAAATTTACACTGGATGTAAATCGAATGGGTCAAGAGGTATCGGTAAGGATGTGATGTTACGTAAATTTAGCTTATAAGAGGCTCTAAACTGTAGCTTGTTTAGCTTATGTGTAAATCCGGCTCTACTAAAAAAAGAAAGAAGATAGTGTTTGCCCCAAAAAATCGAATCCAAATCCTCTTGAAATACTACAGATTCTCATACTTCCAACCACAAGACCCAAATTTAGAGCATCATACAAAGAGAAATTACTTCACTACGTCTTTGTGCTTTTATTAAACTTCTTTTACAGTAAAGAATGTTTTAATTTAGACATGATATAGAGCGTCAGTTTGTCAATCCGTCGTTGAATAGAACGGATACCGAAAAAGCATTGTGGACCTGGCCGAACCCACAATAAGTATGATTAGAAATCCTCTTAGAGTCCACAAGACGGAAAAGAGATAAAAATAAAGTTAAAATATATCTATAAGAAGCCAAGTAGTTAAGAAGTAATTTAAAAATTAAAATAACAACAGTATAATTATTTTACAAAAGTCTGAAGTTATTATTTTAATCGATTTTGATCGACAATTTAATATATATTTTTATTAACTTCTATCTAGATAATATATGTATAATAAAATTTAGAATATTTTTAGAGTGAAAACAGAGCAGATAAACCTTCGGATACGTTATCAATATTACGAAATATTTTAAATTAACTATAAAAGTAGCTAGATGGAAACTACAGCCTTTACTTTCAATAGCGATATAGTTATGCCACGCTTCTACGAAAATACGTGATGGGATATCAACTAGGAAGATAGAAACGTTACTACACCGGATATGAAACTCGATTTAAGTTAAGACGAAACAAGTTTAAGAAGTGAAATGCTTACTGAGTAACCAATGGGTTAGAGGTGAGTTATATTTTAATTAAATTGTCGTTTAATACTGTAATTCGATCCGTTAAATCTGCTATTAACTACGGCCATGTTTGCGTTATAAAGTTGTTTATAAATTACTTATCCTTCTATTTAAATTGAAACTAATATTTAAAAAAAATAAGTATTTTATTATGTCTATATTGCTATATATTTACATGTTCTTTATCAGTTTATAGGAGTGTTTTGTATATGTTCTAATTCCTAGAAAGTTTCAAATGATAGCAAAAAAAATCTGTTTTTATTACTTAAAATGATAGTTTTTTATATAAATAATTATAGGAAGTTATAAAAAATATATCAATTTAAATAGTTTTCTGATCAAAGTGTTGGAGTACAGTACATTACATTCGTCATTCCTGTATAAACAATAATCTAAATGTAAAATAACCTGCTGCCATCTAATGATAAGTAGAATTAGTAAAATATTAATTCTTTATGTATAATGAAATTTGTTTATAAGTAATAACTGTTATAGATTTAGCAAGTATCTTAATTAATTTCTACGAGAAATAGCAATTTTAGATAATTAGAAAGGGGTTAAATAAATAAATAATAATAATAATAAGCTAAAATGTGTTTTCCTTAATTAATAAATGAAGAAAAGAATATAATTTTATAGAAAATTACTTGAAAATTAAGTCTTTTTTAGGCCTGTAATGTGAAGAAACATCTATTTAATTACTTATTATGCAAGAAAGGAAGAAAGAAATGTTTTTTTTTTTTCTTATTTTGCTGAAAATTACTCAATATGCTGAATATATTTTATTATTTTCAATATAAAATTCAGATTGTTACGATACAGTTTTTACTAAAATAATCTTCATTAACGGCAAAATATATACAAAAATAGTTTATTGGTTTTAATATGTGGTTAGAATCTGAATTTTATCAAAATATTCTACTTATAAAAGGTGAATTTTTAAATATGGAGGAAAGTAACAATTCTGGCTTCTTTTATTATATCCTTTTCTTCATATTTGATTTTTGTGACATTAAAAAGTAATGAAGAAAAACAATATTATGATATTTTTAATGATAAAGATGACCCAAAGAAAGCTTACAAGTTATTAACAAAACAAAAATAAGAGCTTTAAATCGTTTGAATTTCTTATTGTGTTATTTTTTGTATTACTATTTTATAATAATTAAAAATATAAAAAGTTTTAATAGTAAAATATCATAACAGATGGCGCCACAAATACAGTTTCAAATGTTGCCGGGAAAGTTAAGCAACTCGATGCTATATTGCCACTTAAAAAACCGTAAAGAGTTGGCTTGATCTGCAATTGGTTCGATCAACACGAGTAAAGAAGGCCGGAACGATGCATATTAATTATGCAAGAAACAATACGGGAATTGCGACAGTATATGATTGACTAAACGTTTGGTGTTACGTTTACTAAAGATATAATTTTTTTTTTTTATCGATAGGCGATTTGCATTCAGGACGAGTTTGTCTTTAATCATTGTCTTTATCCTAACAACTGATGTGTGAATTTGGTTTACTCAAAGAATTTCAAAGGCCTAATTAACAAATTAGCTAACAATTTATGTAATGCCTACTGGATTATATGTAAACTAGAAGTATAATTGTAGATACAATTCACTTATATCAGTTATAAGTAGCACAATAACAGATAAAACAAAAAGGAACTTTAAATATTTTCATAAATGATATAACTTATTATTATTATTTTTTTTTAATAAATGGCTGTTATTCTTGAATGCGATCCATCAGTGGCCGAGTGTATAAAACCGTGAATTGAGTTTTCTCACTCGTGACTCAATGAACTAGTTTCGTGGAATTTTTCGAGATTTCTTCGCATGTCTAACGTTTAACAGTGGCCAATTTCCTATAAAAAGTTATTCGGAATTCCAATAGGAAGTTCTCCGAAAGCCATCTGCCAAGGAAGTACCCCGTACTTCACTTGGCGAATTGCCTTCGTGTTGCGTTGCTTTATCCTATCAAATTAATAATTATTAAATGTTCTGAAAAGATTTATATTTAAACTAAAACCAGGATATACAATATATTTCGTCTGTTTCTTTAATTATTTATTTTTAAATGAAGAATAAAGAAGAAATCTGACAAGCCGACATCTGACATGGAGCATATGTAAATGCAAAGAAAACATGTTATGATTTACTTTAATATAATCAATTTTCTTTGATAGATTTATTAATACGAAACATCAGTGCATTATAAGTCTGGCCCTCAATAGCATCGGGTAGCACGTGTTAGAGATGGAGAAATATATCCCGATCTGTACGATAAATAATAAGAATATGAAACGTACCCGCCATATCGCGGCGGGCATAAAATTTATTTATCTAAATTATTAATTACTTACTTAAAGCATGAAACTTATATACAGATTCCTTTATGTAATGTCATTCCTTCGTGTCATTTTTATTATTTAAACATATTTTATCAAAGCATTAACAAATTACTATGATTTTTCGGAACTTCTTTTTATAAATTTCGTGTTTCTGAACTTCCATAATTTAATTAGTTTTCACACCTTTATAAATAATATTTTATTGTTGTGACTTCTGCTACAAATATTTGATTAGGTGATATTATAAATTAATGATAACTGTTGAATGTGATAATGTCCATAGACTCAATGACGTCGAGAATTCTTTGGCCACGTGGATGATGTCGATAAGAGATGATGATAAACTCGGGTAGAAAAATAAATTAAATCCTTTATAAAGTCATTTCTTCTTTGATTTTAGATGCAAAATTACATTTAATTCGTGAATTCACTTCTTGACATTTAAGATTAAATTATATTTATGTTCTTTTAAAAGTTATTAAGCAAGAAGAATTGTCCAACGGGAACTTCCAGAAAGATATTTTTACTTGAAAAGTATACGAATATGATCTAGTTTACTGTGTAAACACTTTTCTTCTGCAAGTGTTTAAAACATTCTCTAATGTCGCAGAAATTTAGTGCCGAAACCAAATCTTAAGGGACGATTACTAGAACTTCGAGCACGATAACCTGGTCTATTTATCCTGACACCAAGGCGAGAATTGAAGTCTATGTCGACGATAGAACCAAAATTACCACCGACGTTTGCACCAATATTTAAACCAATATCGGGTCGCCTTTGCGATTTAACTTTCATTATCAGAAACAGAGTGATGAAAACGAATACCTGTGAAAATAACAAATAGATCATAAGTTTACAATTAGGATTAAAATATTTTTGGGTAAGTGTATATGAATTGGATCGGGGATTAAGTTTTAAGATTGTTGAATATATTCACTTACTATTGTACTGGACTGTACAATAAACTCCCACCTATTACAGGGTTCTTTGATTTGACCCTCACATTTACGTAGGCCTCAAAAACATTTGCAAATTATTCACTATATTTCCGTATTTCTTGTGTATCAAAAGTCATTTATTTCGTGTCTAATTTTATTACTTAAATATATATATTTTCGTTTTTTGAATATACTGGGAGATCTCAAAAGAGTAAGTAGCTTGGATCTTTCGGATTTCTGGACCCTACGGGGTATACAAAGAGCCAGCTTAAGGGGGGGGGTGCGATGGATACATTCACAGCACCTCGCATTCTTCATTAAAGACCCATTTATATTAATATTTTATCCTGAACCCTATAAAACACGGAGCCGATTCTGAAAATACTCTGGTATAATCTGTATTTCAAACAAATATGCAATACAAAAAGAAATAATCACTGCGAATTAACGTAAACAAATTTCAAAATTTTACAAATAATTACAAATAAAAGTTTAATTTGATCCTTTTCAGACACACTTATCCTCTAAAATACATAATTATTTTATTTATAATTATATTAATATTATAGAATTATTAATTTTATAATTAATATTTATACAAATCTAAAAACTTACCCAATATTTCATTCTTAACAGATATTTACTGTTCGTAGGAACAAATTATATTTAATGATACAAAAAGTGTCAGTCAATTTATATCATTTTAATTTTTTAATTTGTTTGACCTAATAATCTGAGAGGAAACTGGTTCGATTGGTTAAAGTTTAAATTGGATCTAGAAACTGTTCACGTCATTTCTATTTGTCTGAATGAAAGACTTTTGCCTACAATAACCAGCACCAGCAAAACACTAGCTGGTGTTTTTAGATGTGTTTAGACCAACATTTCGGATTCTTTTAAGGAAATAACTTAAATGGAATATTTACCAAAATGTTTAAATGCTTACTTTTAATTATATCTTCCATATATAGGAAGGAACGTAATTAACGTAATTATCCTTTGTGTTTCTTATATTATTACATTGATCATCTATTTTTTCATTTATTTATTAAGAAATTTGTAATAAAGGCCTAATTTCTGAAACAAAAGGGTTAAGGTGAATTCGTATATTATTAATTTGAAGTGTTTTAACCTTCAAAGTAATAATATACGCATTGATTGAATTCATTGTAAGACTGTTCTATTGCTATTTTTCGTGACATAATCATAAATATATCGAGTTTAAAAATAATTTTGCTTTATATAATTATATATTTTAAAAGTTAAATATATTATATTTCAAGATATTAATTACAAAAATAGCTTATAGATTATTTTTTTGTTAAACTGAATTTTTGTGATGTTTGTTTGGTTGGATGGGATAAAGCAACGCAACAAGTGAGCGATCTGTCAAAAGAAATGCCTCCAGGACGGACTTTCTATGGAAATCTGGTGCCTATTTAGGTATTAGACAGGTGGTGAAAACCACCTGTCTAATACCTAAATAGTTACAGTTAGTTAGAATATATCTAGTTACAGCTGGGGCCTCGTCTTCTTAGGGGCTTTATTTCACTGCTGACTATTAATATTTTTGTTTATATCTGTATCTATAGAATGTCTCTAAAAATTAGTCAGAACCTTAAAACTGTTCTGCATATACAGTACTATACATGTTATTTAGTCTTTATATATTTATTCTGATAAGCTATTCTATATGAATATATTTATATAACTTCCAAGAAAACATTTTTATATATATTATATGAAAATTAAATTATAATTTCCATTGATTCGTTTAATAAAGACAATTCTTTTTGATAGAGTGAATTAAGCCGTTCAATCATTTTCTCACAACTTTAATACGGTTTTTTTGGACCCAAATCTATAATATTATTCCAAATGTCTCACTTTTCACGTGGAAAGCAACATAAATAATATTCCACATGAGTTTTAAGAGTATAAACCAGAAAAAGAAAGAAGAACTCAAAATAGAAACATATTTCTATTAATTATGATTTCTTGAGGCATGAAAGTCAACTTATCAGATATATAATTGAGGATATTTAGATGATTAACGACAGCTTTAGTAAATGACAGATCAGAATAACTAATCTCTTAATAAACCCATCACTTATTTAGATGTGTCGACACTAAATCTATCGTTAATTTTAAATATATCACTGTTTAATATTATAACTCAAAGCACACTTAATACTATATTACTTAAATTATATTTAAAATAGTAACAGAAAAATATATATTTAAATAGCTATAAATACTCGTTTAATATTATAATGAGCCTTTCTGTGNGTTCCGATAACTCTCAATATACAAGTTTAAGCCACTTCGATAAAGATCGCTGATGGTGTACAAATGAAACGGCGGAAAGACTGACAGAAACAAGGTTCTCACCTTTGTAAAAATGTCGTATTTTTTATAATTTTATTAAAGAGTGAAATATTATAAATATTTATGCAAAAATATTTGTATTTTTACAAGTAATACTCTGATTGCATTATTTTTTTTATTGTTATCTTTATCGTATGTTAAATGCATTTTAATTTCAGAAAAAAAGCTTTATTTTCCTAAAAAATTTTAAAAATTTATTTTTAGATACAGAACAGCTTCCCTAATGAGTGTTACTTTGAGTTGCGATCATCGAGTAGTAGACGGTGCCGTAGGAGCCCAGTGGATGGCACATTTTAAAAAGATCTTAGAGAAACCTGAAATGATGCTGTTGTGATTATATGTGATTTTATATAGATTATTAAAACTAAACTTACAAATTATGTGGACTAATATAATGTATGTTGTATTCAAGGACTCTTGAGTTTAAAAATGCAAAAATTTTTGATTGATTGCAATACTTTCCCTCTGTTATATATAACAGAGCTGGGAAAGTAAGAATGACAATGTTGAAAAAATTTTCTAGTTTAGACAACTACTTCTTTCTGACATTTTTTTACATTTAAAAAGCAGCATCTTCTGACTGAATCTAGTGGCATTAACTATAACATTCAGGTTTCTATAATAATTTGCAATAAAAGACATTTTGAAGTTAGTGAAGTTTTCTGTTAATATGAAGTGATAATTTTGAGATTTGTAATGATATTTTTTAATGAACTTTTTCAAGTGACTTATTCAAATTAGTTCATGTGTGAAAAGTTTGTGAGCTTCTCAAACCAGACTCATTTCAGTGGCAGGCTGATGTTTTTATGTGGAGATATAAATAGCTTGCTTAGAATGCTTAAAAGCAGTAAGTTAAAAAAATGCACTCACCTAATTTACAGAAGCTGAAATTTGTATCTTATTTCAAATGGAATTTTTTTCAAAGACTTTGAAATTATCATTTTAATATCAATAAATGAGAGTTCTATATTGCCCAAAAGATTACTTATCAATTTTTACCTGTTAATTTGATAGTAACTAAGTTATTTACATTAGAAAATAAATTTTTGTTTTATTCGTAATCAAAATTATATACAGGGCTGTGCCAATGGGTGCAAAGCAGTATGCTCCACTAATCTATAATTTCAATTATTCTGCTCAAATTGTTAAAGAAAGTTAGCAATTTCAGGCATAAAAAATTTCTCACACCAGAATGGCAATTTACTTTGGTGTAGTCTTGATTGTACATACATCTGATACCTTGAATAAATTCTTGTGTTATGAATTTCTTAAAATAGGACAGTTCAGACATTGTATAACTTATATAAATTCTGTACATAATTTGTAATCTTCAGATACTGTACAATAATTATAAAATTTTAAATGTAATTATAATTTATAATTTTCATTGTTACAGGGACTTGTAGATATCAGTAATGATGTCAAAGCATTAGCAGCTAAAGCTAGAGATGGCAAACTTAAACCACAGGAGTTTCAAGTAAGTAAACATATAATATAAGAATATTGAAACAATTTTTAAGAAAAGAAGATTAAAAACTTGTTACTGAAAATGGTATTTTCATTTTAGGGTGGAACTTTCACTATATCTAACTTAGGAATGTTTGGCATTAAAAATTTTGCTGCCATCATTAATCCACCTCAGGTTTGTCCAATTAGGTCTAGCAAGTATATATATAAACAAACTTTTTTAGTTTTTAAATTTAATTATTGATCGTTTTTACTGTAGGCATGCATTTTAGCAGTTGGTAAAACTGAAAAAAGAATAATTCCAGATGAAACTACGGATACAGGGCAAGTAAAATTTATGACATATTAATGATAATGATTCATGTACAATTATCCTACTGGCACTGATATGAATATATACAGTAAGGAATTTACTAATATTTAATTAATTTACTGTTTACACATTTGCTAAATCATTCAAGTAATGATTTGATTTTTGCTTACAATCATAAACAAATCTTTACCATTAATTAATATAATTTCTTGGAGTGAACAATATTTTAGAAAATTAGCAATCTTGATTGAATATTGATCATTAGGAATTAACAAAATAAATACAGATCTGAAGATGCTAGATTACTATTTTATATTTTTAATAAGAGAAATCAAAATCGAGAGTACCACATGTTGATCTTTATTTCTTTTGTTAGACATAATTCTCTTGTTGATTATAAGTGTGTAACCTAAAAGAGCTAAAGTTTCCTAAAAAGTTTTTGCTCTAGAACACCTTGAATTAGATTTACATTTGAGAAATTTCCTTAACAAGAGTGAAATAAAAAATAGTAAAAAGACATGGCCGGCGGTAATTACATTTAATAAAATTATAAAAAATACGACATTTTTACAAAGGTGAGAACCTTGTTTCTGTCAGTCTTTCCGCCGTTTCATTTGTACACCATCAGCGATCCTTAAGACAATTCACAAAATTTTCCGGGGACGACCTTCCTTTTAAGGCTACTGCCTCGGTAAAAAAATGTAAAAACAGGCAAAGCGTCCTCTGGTGTTTGTTGCCACTGTCACAATATCACATTTTAAATAAAAAATAGTAAAAAGACATGGCAGGCAGTAATTACATTTAATAAAATTATAAAAAATACGACATTTTACAAAGGTGAGAACCTTGTTTCTGTCAGTCTTTCCGCCGTTTCATTTGTACACCATCAGCGATCCTTAAGACAATTCACAAAATTTTCCGGGGACGACCTTCCTTTTAAGGCTACTGCCTCGGTAAAAAAATGTAAAAACAGGCAAAGCGTCCTCTGGTGTTCGTTGCCACTGTCACAATATCACATTTTAAATAAAAATTGTAAAAAGACATGGCCGGCGGTAATTACATTTAATAAAATTATAAAAAAACGACATTTTTACAAAGGTGAGAACCTTGTTTCTGTCAGTCTTTCCGCCGTTTCATTTGTACACCATCAGCGATCCTTAAGACAATTCACAAAATTTTCCGGG